GCAACAATTCTTCTGCTCGACGACCGAGTAACGCGTCCGATGTTATTCCGAAGAGGCTTAACGAGGTTCGGTTGCTTGGACGTCTTCCGATTCATTTTAAGAAGAAACATTATTTTAAAAGAGTCTTCAAATCTTCTCTCTCTCTCTCTCTCTCATCCTCTAGGAATCTAAGCTAATAGATCAGCTGCAATTTCAAAAGAACGATCTCTTCGAATCAAACTCGATCAGACTTCGCATCGTTTATATTTCCCAAGATCTTCCCATTAATTCTCAATATACCTATTCCGTCGTCTAGAATACCCTTTCTCGAAAGTAGCACACAAAATCCCAAAGAAACGACCGTCAGGATTTCTCGTCCAGCCAAAACCATCGTCAATTGTTAGTTCGAAATGCTCAGATCCTATCGCAGCGGAGTTATCCGAATTCCTCTCGTAGCACCGGTCAGTGTGGCAGTTTTCTGAATGCAGTCCCAGAGGTCCCAGAAGCGAAAGGTATCACGTGTCGGTCGGCCGATCGGATCCAGGACCACTTTTCGCCTTTCTTTGCAACGATGCTCAAAGATTCGCACAGGCCTCTTCCCATCTCCCTCCCACCTCAGCCAATGTCTGGAGGCCTTGACTGGGGCCCCTGTGAAACCAACGCTTGAACACAGCGTGCCCATGCCGGCGGGCCTCTCTCTTACACAGGTTCCCCGGGCCCGTGTATTCGTCACACGTTCAGTCACGCAACATCTCGCACACTATCTGCCCGCTCACCTTCCCTCCCCCCGCCACGGGTGTTTCGTACCCCTGCGCGCATCAACGTGTTCCCTGTATTCAGACACGCACACCAGCGCTACCCCGAATGCCTCTGGCGTTATTCCACCGCAGGCCGTTCGCGTATTCGAATTTACACGCGGTTGGTTTTGCGAGTTTATATGGTTTCCCGCGATACCCGCGCGCTAGAAGCTTAATTGAACGAGCAGTTATGATTTCTCGAGGATGTTATGATTGTTACCGCGCTCCTCGATTAACCAGGGGATGGTTGCAAAATTGTTTTTTTTTCTACGAAAATCACGGAGCTGTCATTGATTCCTGAAGGCTTTGGGAAGAAAAGGAAACTTTGAGAATTCGGTTTTCGATTCTAATGCTCCCGTTATTTCCTGGTTAAATTTTAGTTATTCGAGGAACAGAGAATCGGTTCGTAGGAATGTAATTAATCTAGGACTAAAGGGTGGCGCAGAAGAAGGGAGTCGAAGAGAATAGCCGCGCAGCCCCGGACTCATGTGAATTTATCACAAGTTTATCTCGGCCGGTGGAACGCTGGACGTTCGTTAATTTTCTACCGGCCGTTCCGAGCCGCTCTTCTCCCACCTGCGTCCACCATTCGGTTACGTTCCGGCCCGTTTCTTTTTCTTCGTCGGCGTCTTCGTCGCCGTGGACAAGGGCCAGGTAAATCGAGCCGAGGAGGGCCTCGGCGTCGTTCCCTCGCGCCCCCGGTTTGGATTTCAAATAATTGCCAATTTGACTTTACGACGTCGTCCCGCCATCTTTCAAGCCGCGACTGATTTACTGGGATTCCTGTGTCTATTCATTTGTCCGTGAGATCGCGTGGGACGATGAAACCTACGTTGATCGTTTCCTCAATCGCTTCGGTGATAACGCTAGATGCTACCAATTGTTCGATTGATTTTACTGTTTCCTCGGTATGCTTTGTTTCAAAGGAATCAGTGTTCGGTACATTCGAATGTAAAGTTACGCGATAGAAACACGTAGATCAAATTTGATCGAGTATTTTCTTGGTACCTTTTATTACTGACGAGTTGTAAATTCGTAAATAAAAAGAGTGGTCTCGTGAAAATTGTAAGAGTACCTTCATCAAAATAGAATAATTCTTAATCGAATATCGAAGTAAAAACTGGGACTCAATTTGAATCGGAGAAAAAAGTTGGCGAGCAAACCAAATTCGAGATATTCCAGTTCCCTTGCATCCCTAATCATAATTGAATTCTACGTAGTCCACGTTTGATTCTTCCAATGCACGTTTCGATGTCGTGGCGAGTAATACGGAGCGTTCCTCGCTCTTAATACATTCAGTAGCCGCTGGTGACTTCAATGCCGGCGCAAGAGAGATTAAATCGCGGCGGGACAGTTCACCGGGTACTTATCGCGAATTCCCGGTACGTTCGGTTTTCAACTGAATGGTAATATCTATCCGGGAGGACGGCGATCGTGGAAAAACGACGCGGGAACACAATTGACTGACGTCTCGCGGCTCGTGGGTATAAATTTAATTAAGATTAGGAATTCGGAGAAGCCGGACGGAGCAGGTTCCGATAACCAGTCCCTTTTTAATCCTCCTGTTGCATCGCGTCGGAACGGAAACCTCGACGTTCGGTCGACTCTTAAATACTCCTCGTGTTTTTTCTCATAGTACAAAGTTATCTCGTTAGTAATTTATGCGATAGTTAAAACCTCGGAGGCGGGGAAATTCAAGAGAAAGGAAGGCAGAGCAGGCCTGCGTTTCCGAACAGTCGAGATCGACAAACGAGAGTCCTCGTGTTCTCACTTTCAGTTGCCGGGATTCGACGGGAGGAAAATTGATGGAATATTCCACGGAAATTCTAATTCTACCTCGGATTATTCGAAAAATTCCATCTCCAACGAATCCAATTTCAACTGAACCCCTTGGGCTCAGAAAAGAAAGCGCGTCTACGTATAATCGAATAATCGAAACGAAGTGGTTGATCGAAAAGACAGAATCATCCTGTTTTCACTCTTCAGTTAGGAAATTACGAGCAGAGTCCAGCGAGTCGATGTTCAATTACGGCAGTCTGAAAAATTCCATTCTCAACTTTCTCAGGACAGAAGGAAAAGAGAGATCTTCCGTTCATGAATAGTCAAATGCTCGGAACGAGACCGAAAATCGAAGGGACGACGTGTTTCTTTTTTCCGTTCCCATCGGCCATTATGCATCGTGACGAGAGGGAAATCGACTCGGATCTCCCATGACGCGTTAATTAAACGAACCTCATTAATACGGATCGTGGAACCGGAGTCGCGAACCGGCGATCCTACGCCGGGGGAAGGATTTCGTAGTTCGCCCGGCGAGAGAAAGGCCCGATACCTTAACCCGCGATCCCTCTTTTGTTTTTCGTCCCATCCTCGTCGTTCCTGGGGATCCTTCAGACCGGTGTTCCTCCCTTTCTGGCTCGGCCGGCTTCTTAATCTTCCTTTAATTCCCTGGCTTTTCGTTTCTTTAGCTCCTTTTTCATCTCTGAGTTTCTTTTCGTCTCCTCCTTTTCGCAGTCTTCTTCTTCTTCTTCTTCTTCTTCTTCTTCTTCTTCTTCTTCTCTTCGTCTTCTTCTTCTTTGTTGCCTTCTCTTTTTTCGCCTGTTGTACTCTTTCGATCTTTCCCCCGTTCCACCCTGGCCGGCATCTCCTCTCCTCACCGCCAGGTTCCCTTCTTTTCTTCGCCAAGTCGAGATTCACGGCGTCGAGGATCCTCGTCGATAGATCTACGGCCTGTCTCGAGCCACGGCGGAGGAATCGCGAAAAACTTGCCAGTCCATTAAACATCCTCGCGTCGCGTCCTCTTTCTTGGTCACCGACGATCGGCGTCGCGAAACGTTCAACCGTGCTTTTATCGTTCGAACAGCGTCGCCGGATTGCGGGACGGTTCCCTGAGGCGGACGCAATGCGGCCTGGATACGGGAATTTATGAGTACTTTTATGTATGCCCGCCGTACGCGTAGAATGTTACTTTCAATCGTAAAATGAAGCTCGATCCCTCGGGGAGGTTTCAAATTGAATTTAATATGTACGGGTACTATTCGTTAGTCTCAACTTATTGGGAAAGATTGCTGTTCTTTAAATCAGTTACTTCAACTTTCGTCTACGTGTATGCGATTTCAAGCACTTCGTAGAATATCCTGTAGAATGTTGATTGAGTTTTTTTATATTTTTTTTCTGGAGCACTCCAAGTTACTGCGAAGACAGGAAGAATTAAATGGAATATAGTAGGCATTGTTAGGAATTTTTCTGCTTTTTTCGTGTTTTTCAGCGAGAATTTTCTTTCAATGCTGTCTGTAAATCAAAAGTTATTAAGCCGGACCATTGTGCTTCGCGAAAATAAAATTGTACGACGTCTGAGAAATCATGGATCGATACCCGAGGAAAACAAGTTCTTCCCACGCGATTAACGCCGTCCCGCCGAGAGATCGACTTTCCCGGTTAGATCGTTGATTATTCTCACGCGTCCTATGCTAATTGCCGATTAGAATATCCGTGCGACGAATACAGAGGCGATCGGCGAACGTCACGGTGCTGCAAATTGATTCCTTGATAGGCGCTGGCCGAGACAAAAAGAGGGTAAAACGTGGCGAACCGAGCCTGTCCACGCCATCCTCGTTTTATGCGATCTTTTATAAGTATCAATACCATTTCATATTTATATAGCACGGTAATATATAGCGCACTTCATAAAATATAGTTTATGCACAATCTAATTATCACACCATAAATCTTCACGCGTATGTGGTACATTTTACCGAATGAAGTCCGACAAAATGGAAGCTTCAACGAGTCCAAACAATGAAAATCACCCCTTTCTTTAAAAAAAGTTCTTATTAATTGTTTAATAAAAGCTTGAATTTCTATAAAGATCCCCGGCTTGTTGATAAATAATGTAGGACAGAAAAACGAAGTTAGAAAGGATTCACCATTCAATCGAAAGTTCCTGTTAATTACACCCACAAGGTCTCGGTCACCAGACAATGAGTCACAAACTTTAATAGAAGATGCGATCTTTTTGTCCAACCCTGCATGGTCCGAGGGCCTATCGATCACGGTCTCGAATACCTTTGTGGCTAGTCCCTCATCGATCACTCTAAAGATCGAGATCGAATCGAAGAAGCAAAGGTGGTAGAAGAAAAAGCAGGGGATGAAGAAGAGGAGAATTAAAGGAAGACGAAGAGGAAGAATCAAAAAAAGAAGATTAAGAAGAAAAGGCAGAAAACTTACCAGCAAATTGACGGTGCCCGTATGATCGTCCACCCAGGCGAGAAGAATATCAGCGCCCTTCATATGATTCTTCTCGTTGAATCCAATGCCGACGTAGCCCAAGGTCTTCGCGGTGACCTTGAACGTGACCATCTCCTCATCCGAAGGATCCCATTCAAGGATCACCTCGCCATCATCGTCCAGTTTCTCATGCCTGGTGAACTTTGGCTCCTTGATGCTTCTCTTGGGCCTGTTATCAACGATCTCTTGCGAGTCGAAGTACTTGGTGCCACGAAAAAGCTTAGCCAACTTGTCCGTCATGGGAATGTACTTCTTAGGAACCCTGTCCCTCGTCTTCGGGGTCCTCTTCAGTACCGGATCATCAAAAAGGCTTGGCAGAGAGGTACCAGACTCACTGATAACTTCGAACTGAGAGTTTCCCTCGATCTCGTCACCCTGAAGGTCATCCATCTTCGTGGTCTCTTCGCGAAGCTCGGACATCGATTCCATGTTCTGCGAAAATGCGACACTGTCGTTGGACCTCGGCGATTCGTCGTTCGTCAGCTCGATGTCGGAGGTATCCAAGGTCTCGTTGATCTTCAGGCTAGTCACCGTGGTCTCCTCGGGATCAACGTCAGCCATCCTACTCCGATTGTTCAGAAGTTCGTGCTGGTTAGGGTCCAGGTTCTCTTCCTTCGAATTCGGAAAGTCCAAACCGTCCTCGCCATAGGGCACCTTGTTCTTCGCCTTCCACTGCGAGTACCAATCTTCGTCGACGTCCAGACGCTGTTTCTTGAAGGTGCCCACTCGGAGTACCGGCTCCTGCAGGCTCCTCTTTATCCTGGACGAGACGTCCTTCGGGTGGTGTCTGTTCCTGTACGCCAGTGTTCTCATAGTCTCGTCCATGTGCTGGACGTACAGGTCCAGGAGATCGCAGCTGGCCGTCCAGCAGACGGTCAACGTCACCAACAGCCTAACTATCAGCATCTTCCTCTTCGTCTTTGGTCGATCTCCCCTTGAACCTTCATACGATCGTTGGGTCTCGGTGGGTCTTCAATTTCCAGATAGCCCGCAAGCCATGCAGGCTTGCTGTTCCTTGCGCTACCAAACTCTCAGCTCTCCAAGAAACTCTTCATAATCATACAGCGCGTCGAGAACTTCATGAAATCGGCCAGTTTCAAAATGGTACTCTCCTCATAACTTCGCGTTTCCTTGATAGTGATGTGCACACACGTTGGAGAGATAATCAGTGGAGTCTGTTTCTGTTCGAGAATCTTAGTCACTGAATGCACGAGAACAGGGAACGGTTCCCTGAGACGTTACGCGGACGACAGTTGTGCCGGGACTAATTTAAGCACGCGGCTGCCGTTGCCCCTGCAGATGCTTGCAGCTGCTTACCTGCGAAGGTCCCCTTCCTAGGGCCCTCGCGCAGTCTCGTCTCTGCTCGTCTCGGTACCCCTCTACTTTGCTTTTAGTTCTCAAAACGGTTGCCAGGGTGCTTTTCAACTGTCTTTCAAAACTGTGTGACATAATTTTCCTATAATAATATTCCACTAATTAAAGCAATGAATCATATTGCAAGTAAATGTAATAATATATTACAGTTCGCATACGTTACAATTAATATTACCATCCTTAGAGTCTTATTCTGGATCCTAGGATTTTTTCAATATTTATTGTACATTTATTTATTCTGTGTGGCTGATTTTTATTCGTTGCACATCAATACGATTATTCCATGGAAGTATTTATGGGAGAGAAGGGATGTTGTAAGTTGAAATGATGGGAAATGAAGCATCTTTGCCTTGAGAACTTTAATATCCTTGTTATTACAAGAGGCAGATAACTCTAGGACCCTGGGAGCCATTTAGCGATATTGGAAAACCAGGGCGAAGCTAGACTCCGAAACGTGCAATTTGCAGCTTAGACTGTCGGTGATTATGCGATTCCACGTCTGGCATCAAGGAACACCGCGAAGCCGACAAATAAGAGAGTCTTTTGTAAGGAACAAACAGCGGAAAGGAAGAGGAAATCGTCACACCGTCTGAACGCTTCTCCTGTCGTTACTCTTACCCCGGGAGCCTATTCTCTTCCACTAGACAATTCCTAGAGAAAACACAGCGCGGTCTGTACACAATAGGTAATCATCATTTAAAGTTTTTCGACTCGCGGAACACATTGAAATTAATGGAATTAAACAACATCAAACCAGCGTTTAACTTTGTGTTATGAGGATAGTCAATATGGTTTGACTTTAAGGTCTGAAGGAAACCCTGAAGAAATCGATAGTCGATATTTTCACGTTTCATAGCTTGTAAACTGAGAATCCATACATACGTATAGCAACGGAAGTGGGGACTTTAGTAGAAATACAAATTTGTATGAAACTCATTCTCAAAATTCAAGTAACGTATGAATTAAACTTCGCTTAATTAATATAATGCAAGTACAATGCACCGAATGCGATAACGCTAACTATAATAATTGACGTTTTAAAAATTGATGAAGGGCCTGGCTTCCTTCCGCAGAAGCCGATTTCTTTATGATTGGGGAGGAAACGGAAAGATCGCGAAGGAAAGGCCCAGAACTGCTTCCTGCGGAAGCCTTTTTTCTGAAACCGGAGACGCATTTATCAGTAGTGGTGGTGTTCCAGAAAGAAACGAGGGGCTGCGAAAACAACTGCGGCAGATGTGAACTCTTGGCACGCGCCCCTCTGTTGTACAGCGGTTCTCATCCTCGTCCCCTTTACAAAACAAGAAATCCCTTCTGTGTCAGTGCTGAATACAGACGCTTTTTCAATAATTTCCAAGTATACTTTTATCATTTGTTTATCGTTTACTCTGCATTACAATACACGACAGAGGTTACAAAATAACTACACCGGGAAAACTGGAAAAACTTCGAAATCTCTTATACAAAATGGATTAGAAGCATAATTCGAAATTTAATTGAATAAAGTGAAATTTCCCTTTAGGTTGTGGTTAGATCTTGCTTATTAATTTCCCACAAAACGAAACGTAACCGATAAACACTATTCGATAAAGGATTTCAGTCCAAACACACACGAAAAACTCGTAAAGCGGACGTTCGAGCGTTCTCGATCTTCGATACCGTTCTAATCTGTCGAATCTCGTGCAGTCCATGGCCACATTAAACGCATTATTATTCCTAAGCGTCCGCACGCGCGCTCGGAAGCCAAGTGTATCGAGTTACTTCCTGTGACTGGCATCGCACTGGAAACACTACACCGAGGAAGGGTTACCGATCCACGATGTTCCTTCCTGAATGGATTCGGCGGGGATCGATGCGAAATCCGCGGACTGTTGCAGCCGGTCCGTTTCATTGATACCCAAAATGGCGTCCAGGAGCGCGAGCCATCCAATGTTTACCGTAGATAAAGCCGCCGAGTGTATTTCCGTATATCACGCGCAGAATTGACCCGTGTACACTCGATAACGTCATAAATCGTACGATCGTCGACAGTAATGTCAGACCTCTCGACCGAGTTAATTAACTTTCATCGAAACCAGTTTTCTCGGTCGAATTCCGCGCTCTTCTCAACGAGAGGACTCACAGGAAGAGGAAATCGGACACAGAAATCGGTTTCCCTGGAATTTTTGTCAGTCAGGTATCGTGTTATTGTCAGCCCAGAAGATTCCTTTATGCGAAAAGATACGCGCGTACACGTAACCGCCGTCCTTTCCTCCTGATCCATTGAGCTGCATGTTTCCTCGAATTATTTCTTTGTCCGCGGGAACTCGAGGACCGATCGTGGTCGTTGGGAGTCTTCGTTTTCTTTGAGGAAGAAGGCTGGAATGTTGTCGGAATCTTTGGTGGAAAACGAACAAGCAGATTTTGCATTAATGATACAGTACATCATCGTACCTTTCCATCGACAAGATGAATTTCAGCAATTTCAGTTGTAGCTTTAAATGATTATTTCGAAGGGGTTGATGTAGTTTTTAAAGTCTAGGGTATATATTCAATTGGACTGTTAGACTGTAAAATTGAATACTATGTATTTATCGGAAAGAACAATCTCAAAGTGCTCCAATTGAAACTCTTGCAGTCAGTTACATAATACTCAGCCCCGATCTTGACCGATCGAAACCTCGAAATACGGTTTTCCCATGCAAGCCCGGAATAAGGTACGCTGCAGCCATCAGCCGGCCGACTGTTTTCCGTTGCTGTTCAAGGCTGGAACCGCACAGCTGTTCCGATCATCTGTCCCAGCCGGAGCGCGTCTAGATCGCGCGCGACTAGGCGGTTAAAACGAATATTCTCGAGGCGGCCGACTTGTCGCATCTGCCAATCGGCCCCGGCGAAACTCCAACAGACAGATGGTGTGGACGCAAAGGAAAGTTACTTAAGCAGGTGTAGCCGAGCACGCGACAGGTGAACGCCGCGAGTCCGCGCCTCCTTCGACACTTTTAAAAGTTGAAAATAAAACCGGCCGAGAGAAGCAGGAACCGTGTGTCTCCGAAGCGCACGGCATCGGTCAGCGACGATAATAACTGTAAAATTGTTTCTAAATCGTTCGCATTGAATCCCAATCGTAATACGAACGAGCGTAGAATCGAAAACGGACTCTCCGCCTCTACGGTCCTTGTACAGGCTGTTCGTGATTGTGATAAAAATGGCTCGTCATTCGCTTCTTGCGTCGCGCTCCCATCGCGGGGCTTCGGTTTTTCCCAGGATGTCGAGATTTCCGTGCCGATACGACGTCTCTTCAGGCGAATAACCCGCGACGAATAATTCCGCCGGCGGAATACTAAATGGCGGATGAATTCTCTTCGTCGATCCCTCGAGGACCGTTCTGCAGTTCTTCGCGATACTCGATCGTAAAACGATCGAGAGGAACCGATGATATTCCTGTTTCTCTGTGCTTTTCGTTTCCTTAGCTGAACATTCCGTTCAAGTATTCTTTCGATGGATTCGCGTCGTTGATTTCTAATTTGGTGCACCCGCATTGTAATTTACTTGTACTTTCGGCACAATAGCCTTTCGCTTTTGTCACAGTCAATAAATTGGGACGAAAGTTACATTTGAGTTTGCATATTAATTTTTACGGTTTTTATTGAAATTTATCATTTAAATTCTGGGGACTAGAATGGTTTATTTATGTTTGTTCGAAAGAAAGGCGCGAATGGTAAAGTAGGATGAGTGGGTAAGTCAGGAAACTATAGTATTCTGGTTAGATCATGTAGATTTCTTTCATCGGTGTCTGAGTAGCACGGACTTATTCACTGACACGGATCATGTAAATCGACCGACGAGAGGCAAGACAGATCGCACATCTAATGCAAATTTTTGTCACACTGTCGACCAACTTAAGATACGCACCTACACGACCCACTTAACATTCTGCGCCACTTATACTGTACTCAGAGTAGAAATAATTCTGAATAAATAAATAAAGGAAGAACGTGTTGCTTCGTAAGCACTAGTCTGTCAACCCTTTGCGGACGAAGATTCTTTGAAATATATAAAACCTTCAGCAGGTTAAGCTAAATAATACACTAATTGCTTAATTAACAGGAAAAGAAGGAAACTACATATCTCTTGTTGTTTGACCAGTTCAATTATTTGTTCGCGACTTGGTTTTTCAAATACAACAATTTCATCTCGCTTCGCTCATCTTTTATCGCTTTCGAACTCGAAAAGTTAGTTGTAATTGGATCTTAAGTCTATAATACGGATCTGTTAATTGACAATGTACAGGGATATACGAGTGATGGAAAAGTAGGATTAGTGAAATTAATCTAATCGGTTGGAAAAGTGTTGTTGCATTATATAATTGAAAATAGAACATAGGCACTATTTAAATCGGCATTACTCATTTCGAAGAAACTTTATTGTACAAATTGTAAAGTTCGAACAAGCTTATCACCATCGAATACATAAACAATAAACTTCAATTATGTGCTAATGAACATGAATTAGTTTTATGAACAATGCTACCCTTTCAACAAATCGTTTCCATCACTCTCTCTCGCTCGCGCTCCCTCTCTCCCTCTCTCTCACTCTCTCTCTTTCTCTCTCTCTCTCTCTCTCTCTCTCTCTCTCTCTCTCTCTCTCTCTCTCTCTAGCCCGAGGCTGAATATTATACTCATCATTTTCCGAGTCCACTACTACACACCTCCTGGTGCATTATTATTACAATTTTGAGCGTTACAAATATATATATGTATATTTATATTTATATGTATATGTATATAATACAAAACAAACTTTCTCGTCGCATATTTCACGATAAATTCCATCGCAGTGATCGCATTTATTTACAGGCATTTTCAGTGACGTCCAATTAAACATTTCAATTGCTGTGCTGCAATATTATCGATAAATCGATTTGTTCTGCGCGTCGCGAATGTAGGACACGTCAAGCGTTCAAAAATTCGGAAGATAAAATCGGGAAAGGTGTATTGTAACTTTAAACTTTGGCACATACAACGATACACGCAACGATAAAAATATAATATATTTATAACAAAAGGTTTTATCGTTCTTTTTTCTCATGATCAGCGAAATACATATCGAAGTGCACATCTTAAACGTAAATAGATCAATACGGAGTCTCGAGAATGGCGTTTCGCGCGAATGCCGTAGATCGCATATGTATACGTGTATATATTGTCACAAAAAATGTTTCCCTTGAACGAGCCGCACGGTTGCTAGAGTAAAAAATTCGTAACAATGTTCAACACGAGAGTAAAAGTAAGATCAATACGATCCTTTTCTGTTTGAAAAATTAGTAACGAAGATTCCCAGGCTTTTATGTACACGACTCTTAATCAGACTTTCAATGAAACGTCTCTGCTTTACCGTCAGATTGATCGACGATCGATCGACCGTCGTAATAACTTTCATTTATCTTCGATCGGTGAGCCAGCCCAGCGAAGTCTGACTCGCGAACCGTCAGTGGAAAATTGACTACAGTAAAAAATCTTATCGACTATTTTATTCCTGTTAAAAATTCTCATATATAACATTGGTATCTTTCATGCTTTCTGTACACCGAATACGATAAAATCTCGCTTGAACAGCTTCGACTATGAACACGTTCATGATACAGTTATACAATAGATCATATTCTACATAGTTCACGAATCATCGGGCAATTCCCTCTTCTCGCGACAATTTGTCCCTTCGCTTGCCCCACGAGTAATCAGTGATAACAAGACGTTTATTGCGAACGGGATAACTTGACATCTGCCAACAGCGCAGTCTTTGATAAAGGTTCACGATCATTTTAATCCGAATTCTATAAGTAACTCGAATGAAATCAAACTGTTCGATTACCTTGATAAATTTACCTTGATAAATTTATCTTGAAAAATGAATATCGAGTACGATTATCCATTATGTACAATTATATTAAAGCAAATGGTTATCGAAGAATCAGAGTATCGATGTCCATGGAATTAAGATTAAAATGTAATTCGCACGATAATTATTTACAACAAATACATCGGTGTTCACGCAGTTATCAATCGATTCGCAGTCTCGATTTCTCCCGTAGATTCACCATGGAAATCTCTCGGAACTTCCAGCTACCTCGTCGACAAATACAAACAAATTCGACAATCAGGAATCCTCCGATCCCGAAAAGTATCATCTTCATCTGCAAGTAATCAAATCAATATCCCTTACACACTAGAAACTTCACAATCGAGTAACTGTCCTCCGCGTCTTTCACATCGAAGGGGTGCATCAACGAAACAATAGTTTCTCCCGTACAAACTCCGATAGAGATTGGCAGTAGAAATCTGTCCATCGTTTAAAAGATTAACACGTGTTCGATCTGGACCGTCGGAACTCAGGAAGTGTCTTTGGTGTTCCTCTGGATAATTAACGCGTGAAAAAGAGAAAAACGTCCCTGTCGAATGAATTCGCCGCACTTCACATTGGCTGAATGGAGCAATTAGTGTCTGGTCTGTCCACTTGCTTTTCACGTTCCTCGGAGGGGGTCGGAACGGAATGATATTCCGCGAAACAGTTTCTACGGGGACCGCGCGACGCGATCCGGTTTATTAAAAGCCGAGATTCGATAATCCGGCGATCGATCTCCGCTGGCTCCGTTTCAAAAGTTTCCTTTCACGCGTTCCTGCAGTCCTCCGGGAGAGCGAGGGACGCCGGGGCGCGATGAAATATTTGTGATCGCGTAGCCAAGGTCTCATTAAAAAGAGAGTCGGTCTATTTAATCGCCGGCTATGTCATGGTCCTCCTCGGTTTCCGCCTCGTCCTCCTCGTCGCTCTCGACGCTTTGCACCAGCCGCGCGTATCTGCGCGGGAAACGGGCGGGTATTCATTTTAATGCATCATGCAACAGCCACCGATGACGATCCTCCCACACCGATTCATGACCAGCGATTGCGCTCGATTATTTAACGAAACGACCGGGAACCACGCCGGAAATGCAAATGTTTTCGTTCAAATGCTCACTTCGGGAACATTGATTTTGTAGGTTTTTTTCGAATGTTCGTGAAGGGTTTCCTATTGTGTGATGTTGTTTTGTACGTGTTCCGATGATTTGATGGCTTTTATTTTGTTTTCGGCGGGCATTTGTTTTAATTGCGCGTCTTTTAATAACAGATTTGAAGTTTGCCAATTGATGGAACGGTTTCTTTGTCACGTTTGTTTGTAGAGGAGCAATTCGATGCTTTCTGTGTGTTCGCGTTTCCAACGTTCAGCCAATCAATGTTCGTTTTGTTTTTCATCCGTGCAATTTGTACTGATCGTGAAATATCGATTTTCTTTACTTCGTTCTCAGGGACGTGACGTTGAAAACTACAAATGTTTACGGAAAAGCTTTGCTGCGCGAACAACTGGATAATTTATTAATTTGTTCGATAGAAGAAATCTGAGTGGAACATGTAAAAATTTATGAGTTTGATTTACTAGGGTTTTCCCTAATTTATCTGCTAAATGGACTATAGCGCTCCTCGTTTCCCCATAGGAGAATAAACTATCATTTAAGAATCTTAATTAGCTCCACGCAAACCTCCGGGAAGTCAAGTACTTCGAAGTTGTCTGTTTCCATTAAAGGTAGCTCGAACTATATTTGTTGGCATAACATGTGCGTTATCGGTGTTCCTGAACAACAACCTAAATTACACGAAATAATTACGCGAATACATTACGGGCACTGAATATTGAACTTCATGGGCTTTCTGCTGTGTGTTTCGTTGATAATTATAACTTTTAGCGTATTAAGTACGTGTAGTAGAATAGTTGGATCATGTGTCTCTATTAGATAAAGATATTTTCGGAACTGGAGCAACGTTAATCCCGAAGCCATGATTAGAATTTGATATAAGTTCCAAAACTTTAGAAGAAAGACAAAAAGAAATTTGATTTCAGATTGCGTTTAGTAAAATACTTGAGTTTGGTAACCACGTGCAAAAATAATTATAAATATCATTGAAAAGTTGTGAAATCAATAATACTTGATAAAATTTTCCTTTTGACGATAAGTGGATTGGAAATCTTTCGGAAAATCCCTGTTTTTATGTTTGTCAGGTTTAAAAGTTCGTACCTAACGGTATATCAGACGGGAGTCGTCTTCCTCAGTGTGTCGAAGGCCCATTCGCTACCCCTAACTGGTGGGGGTGGCGGCAGCGGTCCGTCAAGATCAAAAGTTACGAATTCATGTTGAACACTTGGGCTATATTCCTCTTCCTCCTCCTGTAGAACGTCAGCCGTCGTGCTGACCTAAAATTCGTTGCGTTTAGAAGGTAGGAGAATTTCAGTGAATTTCAAAAAAATGTTAACCCTTAGCACTCCAGATGGTTTTGTAATGTATCGGTAACTGCAACTAATTTTTATAGTATCTCCAGTGAAAATGAAGAATGCGATAACATTCCTTAAATCTTTTATTTTCCTTCTCAGTACAAAATTTGGATGTATGGAAAATCTAATAATTTTAGGGTAGTTTCTTTAATATTCATTAAAATATTTAATATTATAACTGGTGCCATAGTGGAGCCTACAGAGTTCAAAGGGTTAAAAGCACCGGAATGTTCAAACGCGTTAAAATGATACCTTACCGTTTGAGTGGTGAGGTCTCTAGGAAATTGTCTAGTATAGTCATGATAGTCCAAATTCGGCGGAGGTGGCAAGAATTCGTCAAAGTCGACGTGATCCACCGAGTCCCTGCTGAAGAAATATCTTTTCTGGTGCCTCTCGCAGAGGAATCCACTGTGACCAATGGTCGAGTGATTCGAGTGATGCACGTGGTGATTGTCTAAGTGGTACACACCCTGAAAATAAATGTCAGTAGAAAAGAGAGAACTTTCCTTGAAAGTAATACCCTAAGACAATGAAAAACAGCAACCCCAATCTGCTTAAATGATCAATAGCGATGAAGAATCTCATTGAATTCATCGTTTCAAATGTTCAATTTGTACAACTGTTTTTTGGAAACGAAGAGAAATTGTTTATATTCGATATCCTTTGAAGTAGGATGAGACCGTTTGATGGTTTCGATCCTCGGTGGTACGGACAGAAACTTTCGACCTGGAGTGTCGCGGGTGGTTCGGAAGTATCAAAGATTCGCCGCGGAGAGGGCCGATGCTTTAAATCTTTGCCCTGTGCGGTGAAAACTAGGTACCTAGGGACGAGAAGTCGGGAGTGTCACTTGTTTCGGAGTGCGATGGCATTGCGCGGATGAGATCTCAAGTGCTTGAAGACCGAGAGCTAACACTCGTTTCTACTTCGCGTTTCGTTTTCAGCTGGTGTCTGTTTACCGGTTAAATGCAATTTAGAACTATGTAGTTGTTTGGTAGTAACTCAACCACCGTGAACGCTATAATTTGCTTATTTCTGGCCACGTCACGTGGTCCCGACGTCGACTGAGAACTTCAGTACGCAGATGGGGGCTGTTGCCACTAACAAGTTAATTAACCTCTTCAAACCAGAATTCTATCTAATTAAAAATATTTCACTGATATTTTCATCAGTTTGCAATTAGAGTTTCAATTTATGTACCTACGTAATGAGAACGTAAAATGTCAGTGCCAACTACCGGTAAGATAGGTTTCTATTTTAAAAATACGATATTTACGCTAATCTACATTTTTCAATCAAATGTACGGTAAGTGTAAAGAGGTTGAGTTGAGAAACGAACATGGACAGAATATTTTCCATATGTATTGTTAACCTTCAAAGGTGAATGGTTTCGTTAAATTCATTTTGCGAGGCACATTTTACTAGAAATCTTCTTTGTTGCTTTGTAATTATTATTTCGTAAGAGGGCGACGTTGAAACGAACAGACGTTTAAGCAGGCTTCCATCGTAAATGAATTCTAAGAAGCGTGATCGCTGCATTTAATACCCAGAAATGACAGAAGTTGCACGAAGAAGTTGTTTGTTCGTAAACTTCGAATGTAAAGATAAACTTCACGTTCAAATTTGCACTTCGTACGCGAAAGACTTAACCACCTGGATACTTGACTAAGCCAGAGGTTTATTTACATAGGGGTTTTATTTTACGGCGCGAGCTTTGAGATTGCGCCTGAATTTTTCAGGGCGGCGACTTATCTTCTTTAAAACTTTTCAAAATCCCCGGGATTCGCGAGCTGCGACTGACGAGCCGGGCGAATTATTAAAAAGAAAAGATAAATCTTTTAGAGACAAGCCTTCTGAATTTATATGAAAACTTAACCCGCGGAAACTTTCAAATTATCCGCGTAGATATATTTTAGAAACCTTTTCAGATCCGAACGTAAATATTCATTTCTATTTTAACCCATCTCTGTTGCTCACCCGTTCCATCTCACCAAATGTTCTCTCGAAATATCCGAGTACATTCTCACAATCTCAAAGCATAGAATAAAATTGTTTAATTTTGAAATATTAAAAATATTAAAATTGTGCAATCTCGATTGAACTATAGGTGATATTAATTTAAACGACGAAATTCACCTGGGACTAGATTTGTTATGGAAAATATAACTAATATCTACTTCGAAGTCAATGCTAAAGAGTTGATTAATCAATTTCATTACTGAACCTTTCCCACGATATCAAGTGATCTAGGCGGTACCCGAATTAATCGATCAGCCTGTCGTTCTTCAACAAAATAAATTACTTTCGCAGTATTGGTGCTCGGTCAGACGAAAACTCTCGAATTCCAATGGAATCGCATAATGGAAATTCTTAAGCGGATGTTAATTCTGTCCAAGTTTTCAACTATAAGGGCGGAGGAGAAAGATTCCGAGGAAATCGTAGAAACGAAGCTAATACTACCAACCCCGTAATTTTTCCTCCTGGAGTCTCTTCGTACCAGTTCTCTCTGGTGCCAAGAAATATACAAGAAAATGGCGTAAGTGCCAGCGATCTCGGTCGTGATGAAGCCACTCACGTACAGCAAAAATGAGAATCCGTACCTGTAGGTAAAGGGTGGTCCCTGAAATCGCAAGATTGCTACGAAGATATTCTCATTCGTACAAGCGCGATACAGATAAAGAAGTAATCCGAGCGAATCGAAGAAAATATGATATATCGAGGATTTCTTTTCGTCATTTCCTCAGATTAGACTGGAACTTCGTAACATTATCGAAACTCGGCATTATAACATTTATTATTTCATAGGAATCAACTCGTCTATTAAGTCCCGCTGAAAATTCTTGCGTTCTCTTAGCTCGTGAAAAAGGATCGAAAGTATATCGCTACTGGGTGTTCCGTTTTTTAATATTTCCCTCAGATCCAATTATTCCATTCTGAAAGTAATTAATGCATTTCATATGCTTACGGAGTGGAATTTATATTCTTTGTTAACATTGTTGTTTTTCGACCGACTTTGAACTCATAAGACACAGCAATGTGGATTTTTGCCTTTGACTATGTTTAATTTCTTCTTGTCTCTCTGCTCTCAATGTTTAGTTAGTTTTGTTAGTATAATTATCTAGCAGCTAGGTGTAGAACGAGTTCTCTCGTCTGCACGTTATTCTGTTCCATTCGCGAAAATTTCGAATAACGAAGGAACTTTCAGCGGGACCTAGAAAATTCTGAAAAGAAAACGTCTGAAACATCTAGGGAGTGTCACATTCGACTGACCTGAAACGACGACCTTGGTCTAAGTTTACTACCAACTTCAGCTTTGAACACAGATATGTACATCACCATTCCCACCAGCATTAACAAACCTGAAAGGGAAACCGATTTAATAACCCCGCCCTTATCGCTCTGCCGCAGTTCCAGCGACAATTTCACGGCGACTGGACGACATAATAACAGTCGATCGAGTAACCGTAATACTATTGTTTAAACTTTAATCCAGCCTTCCTCGCAGGCTTTTCCACCCCCCTTCATTTTTCATCAATTGTTCGAGTTCCGCAGTTCCATATAATTTCAAACTTTCTAAAAACGTCCGAACCAACTCTTTTTCCTTTTCGTCCCGGGTATCGTCGAACGGAACGTTTTAAAAGTCGCAAAAACTGACGCACGAAGAGAAATTTCGCTTCGAAATATTTCCGATTCGCGACGAGCCGACTCGACGAAACACTTCAAAGCTGAACCGGTAGGAAAGTTCTTAATATCCGACAAACGTGTCCGTAAACGTTTTAATCGCGAGTCGAGTTTCAAGTTCAGCGGTTCATAATTCTGATTGAAAATTCGAATCAATCATAAACGGAATTAAATATTAAGCCGTCCCCGTCAACAAACGAGTTTCCATCGTCGCGGCCGGCGGGACAAACTAAATTATCTGGGGCAGGCCGAGGCTCTAAATGAAACTTGTTAAACCTTTAATAGCCTCTTTAAGGCGGCCATGGTACCGTGACGAAGTTTCGCAACGATTCACTCGCTTTTTTCCCTTTTTCTTTTCACGGTTTTTGGCTTCCGTTCACATAAAAATGTCGCTTCGTTGGCCGTGCTTCGCCAGGGAACGACGCGGAACCCCGCGAAGTCGCTTGTTCTCGATTGAGATGGCTTCTCGGATAGGCGCGCGAAAAGTGTATCGTTCTGCCGCGCGTCGCCGCGGTTTATTACTCACCGGAAACTATGAAGACCACGCCGGCGACAAAGACGCAGAGCCTGTGTCGCGGGTGAGTAACGTGAGCAGTGAAGTAACAAACTTCAGCCACCACCAGCAGCGACGTCGCCGCGAAGAAGAACATCGCCGACTTGGTAA